GCTGGGCTCTGGCGATCCTTCCGCCTCAGCCTTCCAAGTAGCCAGAACTACAGGCGCGCACTACCACAACCAGCTAATTTTTGATTTATTGTAGAGATGAGGTCTCGCCAAGTGGCTCTCGAGCCTGCAGGCTCAAGCAATCCACTCACCTTGGCCTCCCAAAGTGCTGAGATTACAGGCTGAGCCACCAAGTCTGGCCGTCAATAATCTTTGATGTCTTCTTACTTGAAAGTATAAGACTGTCATTCTCTAGAGCCATATTTTCTGTATGTAAGTTTTCTGTATGTAGCAAGTAGAAGTGACCTGGATTACAGGTAAATTTATGACGGATTCTCAAATCATAAATATGGATTTTCAGAATGTTTTCAGAAAGTTATAAATGCCTTTTTTGGTAAGTGATACATTATTGTGAGTAGTAATAACTAATGAAATATTCTGTGTCTTTTTACTCTTTACAGCCAGTACCTTGAGAATTACCTCTGGATGAATTATTCTCCAGAGGTGTCCAGCAAGGCCTATTTAATGTCTATCTGCTGTATGGTGAATGAAAAGTTCAGAGAAAATGTCCCTGCATGGGAGGTAACTGATTTAAATTATTTCATACCCTTCATAATGTGCCCATTTAAGTCATTACAAGGAAGCAGAATTTTTTACTGATAATAAATGTGCTTTTAGAGCAGAACTTTAGCTAATATTAAAGTATATATTGAGAAAAATAATAGATATGTGACAGACATGTTTTCTTTCAGTTTCAACACTTTCTTCAAATCAGTTTACTATGAATTAAAAAGTTATGAACATGGAGTTATGTTTCTGCTTTGTGCTGAACCAAAGAATGATATATGTTATAAAGACCTCAGGGGAAAAAAAGACTCACCGTCAGGAACTATATATATAGTAAAAGCTATATTAATAAGTGTAGATAGATAATGCTCAAATGAGATAAAATTTTTCAGTGTCTTGTTTCATAATAGAGACTATCTATTTGTACTTTTACACAGATGATAAAGAGAAGTGTTTCCAAAGTCAAGACAGATGTTTACACTGCAATTTCAATTTTTCTTTGTCCCTATTTTGAGATTTTTTTTTCATTTTGGAATTTCTAATGAACTGATGTTTTCTTTTTGTACCAATTCAACAGAGGCTTGGTCAGCAGAGTTCCAGAATTTAGGTTTACTTTGCTCACCATAATGTGGTCACTTTATTAAAGAGTTTCTTCTCTTCCAGTCAGACTTTTTTTTTGAGTTGGAGTCTCACTCTGTTGCCCAGACTGGAGTGCAATGGCCGCTCCCGGCCACTGCAGCCTCTACCTGTTGGGCTCCAGCGATCCTTCCGCCTCAGCCTTCCAAGTAGCCAGAACTACAGGTGCGCACTACCACACCCAGCTAATTTTTGATTTATTGTAGAGATGAGGTCTCGCCAACATGCCCAGGTGGGCCTCGAACCCGCGGGCTCAGGCAATCCACTTACCTCAGCTTCCCAAAGCACGGGATTACAGGCTGAGCCACTGAGCCCAGCTCAGACTTTTTTAAATGAAGAAAAGATGTGGATATTTGTAATCTGTTCTGAGGAAGTGGTCTCCTAAGTGAAAACGTGTTAAAGTCTTTAAGATAAAACTATGGACATATCTCAGATATTCATTAAACATCTACCATCTTAGGACACGTTAGAGCTCATAGTAAATTGTCTTATGTCTTATTGAGAGGTACTAGGGATTTCCTGAAGTTGCTCTTAGCTTTTTAGAAAGGAAGAGGGAACATTTTTTGAGCCAGGGAATAATCTGGTCAGTTTGTGTATAAAGACCGATTTGGTGATTAGGGCTTGAAATAGAGAAATGTCAATACACATTTAGAGGATATACACAGATTTAGAAAGTAGTATTGATTGGATTTGATAATTAACTGAAGTAGCATTAGGAAATGGGTATTATTTTCAATAACCTCCTAGTCTTGGGCAACTTAATATAATAGATGATAGTAGCATTTACCGAGGTAATAATAAAGTGAAGAATACTTTGGAGGATATAAAACTGTTGAATTGAGTTTGGACATAATAAATTAAAATTGCCTTTGGAACAGCTAGGTCAAAATGTCTAGTAGAGGAATGTAATGTTCCAGAGCTAATAAGAGAAATCTGGACTTCAGATGTGTATTTGGAGTCATTAACATATGGTAGATGAAGTAATAGGAGATAGGGGGAAGACTGAGGCTAGGACCCCAGGAACACTGCTATTTAAGTAACAGACAAAAGAAGAGGAACCTTTAATACAATGAAAAGGAAGTGAGGGTCCATTGGGCTTGGCAGCTGTAACAGCTTCAGGGGAGTGATGTGGGTGAAAGTTTGTTTTAGAGAAGTGAATAGAGACAACTAATATAGACCACACATTGGGAGCACTTGTCTATGGTAGTAACTGGAAGGGAAAGATCAAGGAGGCGTGAATATATTTACATTACTTACAAGTTAAGAGTAAAGAGCAGGAGAGGCTGTCCTTGAGATTGTAATTATATAGTGTGAAAACTTAAATTTTTGCTAAAGATGTAGTTGCTTTTGTTTAAATCAGAGGAATTAAAACACTTCAGCACCTTAGTAAGAAAACAAAGACAAACTAAATATAGGCATAATCCACAGAAGAAAAATTAAAGGAATTAAAGCCATCATTTTATTAGCTTAAGGTTTCTGCAGCTCTCTCATAGTCCTGGACTCCTAAAAAAAAACTTACTGGTGCTTCTTTAAGGGAGAAAAACAAGTTGAGCAAGCCAATTCAAAATGAGTTTTTATTCTTTTTCTTTTCAGACTTTCAAGAAGAAGCCAGACCACTTCCCATTCTTTTTTAAGCACATCCTGAAAGCAGCATTAGCTGAAACTGATGGTGAATTTTCACTCCATGAGCAGACAGTCCTCCTCCTTTTTCTTGATCATTGCTTCAATAGTTTGGTAATTTTATGTTTTGGGGGACTTTTCAAGATTTCTTATTCTTTTGGGTTGAGGTTAGATAAGATTACTTCTGTAACCAACTCTTTATCCATAGTAGTGGAGAATAAGGGCAATGCTCAGAGCTTGATTATAGCCTCTTATCAATAAAACCATTTTATAAGATATGTTCCCTTTCTAATAGATTTGAACCTCATTCTTCCTTTTTTTCTATCTAGACCATAAGAAAAAATATAATGAAAACTGAAACTGCAAAGAGAGAGCACAAAATTAAGAAGCAGCAAAGGGTCTAGTTAATATGAATTTTGAATAATGAGATCTTTGCCACAAAATACATACAAAAATGTAGTGTCATTACTTTTTTAGTCATACTTCATGCACAAGCTGGTTAGTCAGCAGGAGAGTTATATTTTAGGTTGACTGATTGAGACCAATTATGGTTAATTTTTGAAAAATGTGTGTGATATATTTTCATGCTTCATAAGATTATCTCCCAAACACATATTTTCAGTACTTAATATTTTACTTGTGTTTCCCTACTGTGATTATCTGAAAGTATATGCATATTTTGTCCAAGATAAGTGCTTTTGATTGATAGTGCACTTAGACTCATGCAGAAGATTGCATGGAATCTTTCTTATCCTGAAGACCGAATGTTGACCAGTGGTTATTACCTGTGTGTATGTACTGCCTCACATGGATCTCGTAAAAGCACAAAAAGAGATTTTTGTGGATACCACTGTTACCTTTTTAACATTTATTAAACTAAACAGAGCAAATATAAATAGATGTAATATATTATCAGAAATTAAAACAAAAACAAGATTTAATTAGTATTAGTAGGTTGATGCCAGGTTTAACCAACTTAAAACTAGTTTATTATTGAAGTGCTTTATCTTTTTTAATATGCAGTCAATTTTTGTTATTTGAGGTGGTTATATTTATTTTATAAGTAGCTGAACTTAATTGAAACCTACAGAACACTCCACCCAACAACCACGGAATATACATTCTACTCATCACCACATGGAATGTATGCTAAGATCGATCACATCCTCAGCCATAAATCAAACATAAACAAATTTCTTAGGATTGAAATACTGCCATGTACCTTATCAGACCACAGGAGAATAAAAATAAATATCAACACCAACAAAGTTCCCCCAAAACCCACAAAGACATGGATACTTTCAGTAGCTGTGAATACTGAATTTATGTGTGTTTCTATTTAAAGATACCTTATTTAATACATATTGTTGATTCATTAACCTTGAACTCACTGCCAGTAGCACTGTAACTTATGCCTGAATGAAGTTTATCTAACACACTTATTTTTTTTGTAAGGCACATCACAGTCTTCTTGTACCTATGAATATTAGCGAGAACTTCAGCCTTGTACTTGGTGCCATTTTTTTTTCCGTTTGAGTTTGAGTCTGCCGCCCAAGGATATTCACCGCAACCCCAGTGTCACGCGATCTGCTGGGCTCCAGTGCTCTTTTTGCCTCAGGCCTCCAAGTAGCCAGAACTACAGGCACGGGCTACCACACCCAGTGAATTTTTTATTTATTGTAGAGATGAGGTCTCGCCAGGAACCCGCAGGCTCAGGCAATCCACTCACCTTAGCCTTCCAAAGTACTGGGATTACAGGCTGAGCCATTGAGCCTGACCTGGTGCCATTTTAAAGAGTGAAATCACCAACAAAAAGCAAAAATGTGAAAAAAGTAGCATTAAATAAATAGAACACAGAAAGGATGCTTGTTTATTATAGCATAAGAACACTTTAGTGAAACAGAACCTCAGCTGGTAACGTGGACATCAAGCAACTCAAATTTTTTTCTGCTCTGTGCTGTGAATGACTGTAAAAGCACAGGGAGTACTGATTGTGGAACTACAAATATCTTTTTGGGTAGTGGTTGAATTTGCAAATGTGAAATCTGTGAATAATGAGGATTGACTCTTTTTAAGTACTAAACTTTTTAATATCCAAATTTCATCAGTTTTAAAGTATTGCTGCATATTTTCCCCCTTGTACTTATAAAGGTAGTGTACTTCTTACGTAATGGCTTAGGCAGAAATGCTGGTATGTTTATAAATGTGTTTTCTTCATACCTTAAACAGGAAGTAGACTTGATACGGGGTCAAGTACAGCAGCTTATCTCCCTCCCAATGTGGATGGGCTTACAGCCTGTAAGTACCTAATTTTGGAATCTTATGTGTGTATGTGTTATATGTGGATTTAAACAATGTAATTGTAATATATCTATGAAAGTGGTAGCTAAATACCCCCTTTTCTTCTTAGAAACGTTACTATGTATTAATTTATCGTAGATGATTTTTTTATAGTTTTAAGTTTTTATGTGCAACCTAATATGTGTTTCACTTAATATTCGGTATGGTAAGGTGAAATAAGGTAGTATCTTTGAGCTTGTAGAGAAAGGGAGTTAACTTAGCAGTGTGGTTGTTATACTTATGTATGTCTTTGGATGAGAGTAAATGCAAACTTGAATTTTCCCTTGAGTAGAATATATATACATTTGTAAGAGAAAGTCTGAATCATATTTAATATTAACAACTTCTATTTTTTCATTGCATATTTATTAGATAATAAGTGCAGGTATCAAACCCAGCTTAATACATTTTAGGGAGTTAAATTAAAACTATACAATTTCAGCTGGGCGCAGTGGCACATGCCTGTAATCCCAGCATTTTGGAGGCAGAGACAGGAGGATTACCTGAGCCTAGGGGTTCAAGACCAACCCGGGCAAATTTTTTTTTTTTTGAGTTGGAGTCTCACTTTGTTGCCCAGACTGGAGTGCAGTGGTTGCTCTCAGCCACTGCAGCCTCGACCTGCTGGGCTCCGGCGATCCTCCCAAGTAGCTGGAACTACAAGCGCGCACTACCATGCTCGGCTGATTTTTGATTTACTGTAGAGATGAGGTCTCGCCAAGTTGCCCAGGCGGGTCTCGAACCCACGGGCTCAGGCAATCCACTCACCTCAGCCTCCCAGGGTGCGGGATTACAGGCTGAGCCACTGAGCCCGGCTTAGCCCAGGCAACTTGGAGAGACCTCTTACCTACAATAAATAAACAAATTAGCCACACATGTGGCGCATGTCTGTAGTTTGAGCAACTTGAAGGCTGAGGCAGAAGGATCACCTGAACCTACCAGGTCAGGGCTGTGGTAGCCATGAGTATGCCACTGCACTGTAGCCTGGGTGACAGAGTAAGACGCCAACTCAAAAATAAAACAAAACAAAAAGACAGCAAAAAAACTATACAATTCTTGCACATGGGTGTTTCTGCATACACCCAGATATGCGGGCTCATTCACAGGTACCAGTGGATGGAATCCAAGCATAATACACATATAAATAATTATTTCTAAGTTAAAAGGTGGTAAATGCCATAAGAGAGAAAATGTTGATGTGGACTTTTTTTTTGTTTACTTGTGATAGCTGTTTTTGTTCATTGTTTCAGATTCACATTTTTTAAGCTTTGATAATTGTGCTTATAAGTGTTAATGCCTAGCTGGGCTCAGTGGCTCAGCCTGTAATCCCGCGCTTTGGGAGGTTGAGGTGAGTGGATTACCTGAGCCTGCGGGTTCAAGACCCGTCTGGGCAACTTGGCGAGCCCTCGTCTCTACAATAAATCAAAAATTAGCTGGACATGGTAGCACGTGCCTGTAGTTCCA